TCTGCGTTAAAGCAACTTTCTCAATTAACAGATTCGAATTTAAGAAAAAAAAAATAAACACTAATATTCGTTAAATATTCTCGATTCTTTTGCGTACAAAGTTGCTCGATCCAGAAATCAGATTATTGTAATTATAACTCGTATTACCCATTCTTAAAAACGCGAAACTTGCAGCTACATGTAAAGATAGAGCAGGGCGACTATGTTCATAGGCTTTTGCACCTTGATTGAATTAACCAGTGGAAAATGCCAATAAATTCATGAACCTTTGGATAAATTCACCAAAATACAGGGACGTTTGGCGAATGTCGCGATGTGCTTTCAGATAACTCGACGCGTGTCTTTGGAAAGCCGCGATATCGGTGCGCCCGGATTCCCGGCGTCTTATTTACCGACGAGACAAAGCGAGCCGCCACCGCCTCTGTCGTCCCAAAATAATCGCCGTTCCCAAAAGCAGACGTCCGCCTTATCTAAAGAGTGGCCCTTTTCCCCTCGACCGTCATGGCGATCGACACCAATACCACCAGCGCTAACTTACAATCGGTAGCTCGGTAGCACACTGACATTAGCAGTGACATCGGCAGGAAAACCCTTCGTCACACGAGCCTAAAAAGGCAGCCAGTGAAAAGAGAGGCCTACGGGCGTGGAGGAATTTTCAAGGATGGCAGATGTCCGAGCATCGGCGGAATTCTGCTTTATCGGCGCTTCGATTTTGCCGGGATCGTCGAAAACGCGCGTTCGAAACTAATCCGCTAGCGGCGCGAATTTCCTTCGCTTGCCGACGGATTTTTCGACTCGCGGATGAATTGCCCCGCTCCGTCGGATTTCCCATTCTAACTTTAGGACAAATGCAGAAAATCGCTTTGTTCGCGACCGCCGGTGCCGGTCCAGCCAAGGCCTTGCAGCCGCATCTACATAGCCATAACATAACATCGCCTCGCTGATAAACTCATCAATTGCTCTCGGAGCGCGCTTAATAAAAGCGAGACCTCGGCATTACCAGAATCACTAATGCCGACATAATAATGGCCTAACGATAATCGATCTCTTAATAATCACCCTATTGCTATTGAAATTGTAATTTTCCCCATTAGCCCTTGTAGAGATCAGATACAGCAGCGAGAAAATAGAATTTTAAGGCTGTGTCGAAGATATATTGAACTGTCGATTGATGGAACGAGTGAATGAAATGTGAATGAGTCCGGACCGGATCGGTTCGACAACGAACTTATGTAAATGGATCTCTCATAATAATTGAAACGAGGGGAGAGGTAGTTGGGGACAAGGGACAAAAAAGCCTCTAAAAGTCAAATAGAAATATATTTATTTGGGGCAGGAGCGGGGGTAGAAGGTGAAACGTCTTCTCGTCAAAAGAACGTTCAACAGCGAAGCTTTGACGCGCGTGTCATTAGCTAAACACGTGTCGTCTCTCAAATTACCAAAAAGCAAATAGAATCCCGAGGATGCATAGCTGCTCGAGCATCCGCGACTGGCAGGGCATCAACTGCGATTTCAGCCAAAAGAGGAAGAAGAAGAAGAAGTAGAAGAAGAATAAGATGAAGAAGGCAGACAGAGACGAGCGCGGAACAAGCGGAAAAAGTGTCCCGAGCCCCCATTACTCTCGTCGTCGGGCTGTTGCTCGTCGCGTTTAGCCGACGGTGGCGGCCGTGGCGGCCGTGGCGGCGGTGGCGGCGGTGGCGGCGGTGGCGGCGGCGGCGGCGGCGGCGGCGGCGGCGGCATCTCCGAGGAAAAAAAGTCCGGTCCAGAGAGTGGCACGAGTGGCGCATGCGCGCGGTTTAGCGAGGCGGTGGGCCGCCGGGGACCGACGCGGCCGGCACGACGGAGGAGAAGACCTGAAGACGAGAGGCGGTTCGCGAGTGTCGCGCGCGAGATGCGATCGAGTGTGCGTTTCGTGGGCGATTAGCGCGCATCCAAGTGCACCGCGACCCTTCAGGATGAGGATCAAGGAGGAAAATCACTACGCAATGAAGAG